TGCCTTCGTTCGAAGTGCTGGTTAAAGATATAAAAGCAATTAAAGGCATGACAAATTCCATCATGAATACATAGCAGGGTTTTCCAGAAAATAACACAAAGACTGCGGATTACAGCAACATAACGGCTTGATGCTGGTGGCGATCATCACTGGTAGACTAGGCTGAGGGCATGATACAGACGACAGAACTTTGGCTGCACCGCACATAAGGTTCGGGTTTGCAAAAACGCTTTAGGAAACAATCCATATTATACGCACTACCTGCTACTTCATCTTTCATGGCCGCTTCTCCTTTCCGGTCGTCGAAGCACCCGCGTCACATAGTGCTTCCAACGTTCCCGATCCTGTGCCAGTCTGAGCTTCAGCAAAGGACAACTGGAGTCTGGAACAGACTCCTTCAATATATTTGCACCAGGTTAATTTTGGCCGTCCCCTGGGGCTTGTGCCGGTCGGTTTCGCAAGAAAGAGTTGCTTAGCCTTCCTCTTTGGAGGCCTTCGTAACAAAGCCAAAACCATCGCACCTGAGACTTCTCAATCTGCAGAAGCAGAGGCTGTACACCAAGACTCTCCCGGATGTCAGTATTCCGGACCATGCCGAGATACGTAAGACCAGCGACTCGTCTACGAAAAAACACTTCAGCAGCTTCTACCTGGGATCGAAGCTTTTCAGTCAGGACCCACGACTCATGACCGTAGGCAAGCATGTGGATAAACATCCACTTGAATACCTAGAGCTTAGTTTTCAAACTGAGCTCTGCTTAAGTCACAACGGACCGGGCTAGTTAATGCAAAACGCCACTGGCTACTCCAGTTCGCCGATCGATCTCTTTCTCAAATTTCCCATTATTAGCAAATATTACACCGAAGTACTTGAACTTCTCCAACTGCCCCACTGCTTCTCCGTTAATTTGAAGAAAGAAACGGGCAGGAGAACGAGAAAGCACTAGGCTTTTCGCATTAGATGCGTTCACACGCATGCCGGCCAGGTCCCACTCGATTGTCAACCTTTTTAGGGAGCACTGTAGATAGTTTCAGAAAATGCTAATAAAATTAGGTCGTCTGCAAAGAGCAACCTTCTCGCTTTCACATCTACACCAATACACTCATCGCCCTGGAAGTTCCTGACTATTCTATCCATGTACAACACTAACAGGAGGTGACAGAACGCAGCCTTTGAGGAGACCAATGCCAACGTTGAAAGTCTTCGACTTAACACCATCTATTCTGACGCAGCACCTGCGATCAGAATATAGTGATTGGATGGCCTTCAGCAGCTGGCAATCTATCTCGTATCTCGCAGCTATGACCACTGACTACTGCGTGGGTTCTGGTAACAGG